TATAATGTGTTTGTTTTAAATGTTTTCAGTTATTAACGCAAGTACTTTAATTAATATAATAGCTGTTAATACAAAAAAGGTGTCAGATAAAAGGGTTAAAAAAACCAATGATCAAATTTTGCTACTCGCAAAGGAGGTTCCAATGGTATAATAGCTGTCGTTTAACACACGTTTTACATCAGCAAATAAAACCGCACCATGGGCATGACTGGGCAATTGAGTGTCCCTTTACTCGGCAAACAGCATGCTACTCTAGCCTATCTTGACATAAGCAAACATGATAGTACGATTGCTTATTGCCGCAATAATGTTGGCAACAGTACATCTTATGAGAGCATACACACACACACAAAGGAAAACATTATCACCTCATCCTGTAAAATATTCCAAAATGATTTCCTGTGCCAGAGCAATTTATGCCATTGTGTGGTTTTGTAAATGTCTGAAGTTTTTAGAATTTTGTACAAAGACACCTACATCACAGACATCTGCCTGCAAACAGCTGTTACGTAGCAACAGCATGAGATTCACTATTTTTGTGCGGAGAGTACAGAGATGGATGAGAATGTGGCCCGAGGGCTTTTAAACACCTTGACAATACAACAGCCCTCAACAATGTTATTTTTTTAATACCTGCAGTCAGTGTTCTGTACATTATTTAGTCGTTGCCTGTATATGTTTATGACGGCAAATAAATCCCATCGTCGCTGAAATAATCTTTGAACACTGCCTTTAAACATCTTGCCCTTTTCTGTAAAGACAATCAGGTTTTTTTTTATCAGTCGATATTTTATGAGCATTCAAACAGCCTCATTGATTGTACATGTAAACTTGGAGCATCTATTTGCTTCGACCGAGTTGTATGTGTACTGTACGTGTACAGCCAGTTTTTTCAATCCACTGCTGGATGAAGGCTTCCCCGTACCTTATGGGCCATGAGAAATATATTACCATTCTGTACCACACTGGCCAGCGAGGGTTGGTAATAGTATGCGTGGTGGAGGAGGGAGGGTACAACATGAGTGTATTTCTCCACACTGCTTTCTACTGTCAACAAAGCCTGTCTTTTGTAAATAGTGGTCACCCAACCAAGTATCGTCCAGACCCAAATATGATTAGTTTTTTACATTTTACGAGATTGGGCATATTCTGTGTGATTTGGTAATTAGCAGAGTTAACATGCGTCAATTATTGTCACCTCTTTGTCGTGCCCATGCAGAATGTTAAAAGGACTATAATTGTAGTACTGTGCAACTACTAAATTATCCATAAGAGGTGTTTTTGGGTTAGTTTGCGTAAATATAAAAATGTGTCAATAAACCCGCCACCACCGACACAGCCAATTGGTAAGGTTTGTCACGTAAACAAAACGTGACAATTAGATACTAGTTCAGCACACTGGTGTGTTGGAGAGTAAACCCGCAACATTTACAATTCGAGTTCGATGTATCACTGGTAAATACAAGCAGCCTCATTAGGCGACAGCCAAAACTTGACTAATTGTCAGTGTCGGGTGGTAGCGGGTTTAATGCCACATTAATATTTACGCAATCTAACCCAAAAAAAACCTATTATGGATAATATTGGTCTCTAAAATCTACGTATTATAAGACAGTATTGTAATTAATTATCAAACTGTAAAACCTGCCGAAAAGACGTACCTTTAATGACCAACAAAGATACATTTAATCATAACAAAGCATTCATAGTGACAAATGAGTAACCATTTAACACAATGAACCTTAGCTTCAATACTTGCAGACAATAACCTACGCTAGTGTACTGTATGTCAAAACCTGTGTGTGTGTGCCCATGTGCTCTTATTTTGTAACTATTCTTTGCAGAATACTATGAAAGGGGTAAAGTAAGATTTTAAAAAATGACAAAACCTAGACCTCAGACATAACCTGCTACACCATTCTACGACCATCTTTGTGTCGATAGAAATTATAATCAGATGGACATGTTTTGCTGAATGTAAGGCCAGGCATAGGAGACATTTATGCAATGCCTTCACATGGCCCAGCAGGAAAAGCATTAATGGAAATGGGATTACGGCCATGTGAATGAATGAGTGGGCTGCAGCAGATGGGTTACCACAAAACACTAGCAGTGCCAATAAGAGAAAAACAAGAACAGAAAATCCCTTTTTGTATTAAACAGCAGCCACTGAAATACATTATACATATGTCATGAGTTTGAGAATAGAATGTAAAATTTTCACAGAACTATGGGACATAAATTATTCTAAGGTATTTTCCAGAATTAAATAAAACCACACCAGTGTAACGTATATATGTCATTAGGCAAAACAAACAGATAATCCAGTTTAAATATAATTGCATGGTCAGAAAATGCGCCTGTTCACAAGTTTAAAAATACTGTATTGCATATGAACTGAGATTTTGCACATATGGAAAAAGACCCTTCAACAGTGAAAAATAAATCTGGATTTGCAAGGTTAATGCAAAGGACAAATAAGCTCATCGACATTTCTAAATGCTTCCAAAGAACTCTTTGCGAAAAAGAAATGTCAATGGAAACCAAATTGTGCGCTGCCCCACACACCGAGTAACATTTAAACATAAACACGGCGAAGCGCCATGCGCCTAAAAACATTCGGTTGGATTAGTTAACTCGCAAGGTTCTTGGAGGGTGGCCCCAAACATTATCAACAGGGTTAAAGGTGAAGGTTAATAGCAATCTTAACAATCTTTGTTATCAAAACAAAACGAAGAATGCCATTCACGTTTGAAAGTCTGAGCTGACGAAAAAAGAAAATGAACAAAAATGTCCGATGGCATTTTCGTAAACAAATACATTTCCTGTTTAATACGAGTAAAACATATCCTGAATATCCTATTCATTCTCCCTCAATCACCCTTTCACTGGCCCAGTTTGGCTTTCCAAACAACCAAACCATTTCACCGATCTTTAGACATCTGTCCTCTCTTTACCTCCCGCTTGCCTTCGACTTGCTAGGTAACCAGAGTCTTAGGTTTTTTCGGTAAAGTCACGTTGGTAAAAATAAAAATAAATAATAAAAAATTTAATAGAAATAAAATAATTATTTTAAAATGCTATTTCTATAATCATTTTTATCATTCTTATTATTTATTTTTATTTTTTACCTACGTGACTTTACCAAAAAAACCCAAGAGTATGAATCCTTGCAGTCACGAAAGCTTCAAATCTAGAGGTAACCAGAGCTTGATTTCAACCGGGTCTGTCCCCTTTTGTGACACGGAAATAATTTCGGGACCTGCATACCCCCCCACATCAGCTATGCCTCTCGCAAAGGTTCATGGCAGCTAATCACGTATCTGCTCCAGTTATATTCAGTAGAAAGCTAAGCCCTGTAGGTAACTGAAGCATGTTCCTACGTAGGTCTACGATGAACGTGCATCACCTCCTACTATACTGGTCAACAAAAAAAAAACATTTTTTTTCTGGCCTGGACTTTTGCAGCTGTTTTAGACTAATTTCATGGTGCTGATTCCAAATCTGATCTCAGATTTGCTCTATCACATCTCATTTTTATATATCGGCATACCCCATTTTCATTGATTTTACACGAAATTAACTCTATCACTTATGATTGCAAGTTGTTGCGAGTCAGTGACTGCTTTAGTGTTCAAATATGGTGCTGTATTTTTAGGATAGTGTGTTTATAATATCATTTTATGTAGAAATCCACCTTTATTTAATATTTTTCTATTGCAGTTTTTATTGAAAATGCAATATTTGAAATCTCAAAAAACTGATGTGATAGACAAAAACCGATGACAGATTTGGAATCAGCACCCCAAAATTACATTAAAACCGTTGGAATACCTTATGCCGGAAAAAGTGTGTTGACCAGTGCTATAAATGCGTGTCCATAATTCCTTGTACATTGGCTGCTTCGTATCATCCGAGCTCAGCGTATCACTAAGATCGCTTGGGAACCCCATCTATATGGAACACCAATAAAGTCCGTGCTGTAGATTGTTAAATACTATGATCATAAGAGTATGGTAGTTCATTAAAATGTACTTCATCGTGCAATTGCATTTTTAAGCAACGAAAAGCCCTTTGATGTTGTACATATTTTAAAAAGGTGTGGGTTGCTACATTCTGTTCTTGCGATATATGCAGGCGCTAATTGCCGATGTCGAGGTCTGCTATCCACGAGAGGGCTTCAGGAGAGACATAATGCAGTCTTGCAAATCCTCCATTGAAGGGCTGCAGACTACAGTGGTTTACTATATGGCCCATATCTTCTTGGTTCTTTCGGTAAAGTCACGTAAAAGGGAAGTAATAAAATAATAAAAAAGTAAAACATAATAAAATAATTCTCACGAAGTTTCGGCCACAACGCAAGCAGCCGTCCTCAGGTGAAGAATGAAACACCACCAAGCTTGAAGCGTATATTTAAGCTGGGTTGGAGTGGGGGAGGTGGGAAGAAGAGCGCCTAGACAAAATAATTTGCATATCAAGAGGAATTTAGCATATGGAGAATGCGTAGGAGGTGGGCGGGGGGGGGTTTCAAATTAATATAAAAAATATATGGCCCATAGTTTGGGTTGTATGGCCACAATCGCATCGCACTGCTGTCGCTTGTCTTTAACTTCACATATATGACGGAGATGCGTGCATTGTCCTGATGCTGTGATTCACGAAATGTATGATTTCTTGCAAAGTGTTAAACAGAATTTTTGAAAATGTTGTGACCATTGTACATACAAAGCACTCATGCTCATAATACATTAAATGAAATGTTTAATGCACTAATATTTAAATTTCCACTCGGGAAACATGAATGCGATATTTGTGGACCGAGACAGTGACTCTTTCCAAATACAAATGCTACACACACACACACACAAAAGTTTTCGTCATGGGAATCCTTTGGAACAGGATGACGCTAAATATTCATTATACAAAATATCACAAAAGATAATAAAAATGGAAAGCAGAACGAACGAGCTGCAGCCAAAGAAGCAAAGTGTGGAACTTACAGTTTTCAGCCTGGAAATCTGGGACGAATTGTTCATCATCATCTGGTACCTGGGCTGGAGACAGGGTGATACATATGAAAACGTTAAAGTGTTAAATTGCACAGCAAAAGCAGACTTCACTTTGGCATCAACACTTAAACGTCGGAAATAGTTTGAATGTTTGTGTTTATTTAAAGAAAGAAAACATCTGCTTCAAAAAAATATTACCATTTACATGGGACTCTCGTTTTTAATGGCAAAAGAACGGATAATACACTGTAACATGATAACAAATGTATATTAATAGCTTCAAAAAGTCGAGTCTCCACTTGTTCCCATCATTGTCAACGCGTGCCTGGAATCTTCTTCAGGTGGTCTCAAAAGCCCGGAGGCACATTTATTGTGGTATTGTTGCAAATTCTCAGAAGTGTTATCATTTTTTTGAAGCACCCTGTATATGTGACAGTATTTGAATGATAAGGATGTGTAAATAGGAAAGGTGATGCAGTTTTTAGCTTGTGGTTATACACAGCACAGCATTTTCTCGATGTCTTATATTCCGCAAAACATTATTAAATGTTAGAGTTGGGAGTGAAATAAATATAACGTAAATACTGTCTGGTATACGAATTACACTGCTTGATGAACAACAACCCACAATACATTTCTTGTACTGTACATTTGTATCTAAAATGTCATCTTGTAATTACAGTGGAATTTTGAAAATCCTATTACACGTATTCACTAATTTATTTCAGTACACCAGAAAATGTGTTCAGTCCTATGTTTACCCCGAGCCAGCGTTCTCTCTGTGCCAGTTCCAAAACGTGCTGCAGTGTGCCAATTTACTACATCGATATAACGTGTAAAACATACAAATGGCATTCACTGCAGCGACTACAAGCACAGCTTCCATCCCTGTAAAGAATTCTGATGGGTACATGCCATACTCAATTATGCAGCAATATCACACACATCACAACATGTTCACGCACACCAATGGTCTCAATTAGTAAAAAATATGGCAACCTTATTTAATTATTAATATATTTGTACAACTTTCGTGACCGCAGGAATTCATATTCTATGGTTCTTTCGGTAAAGTCACGTAAATAGAAAAATGTACGAGAAAATAATACAAATAAAGTGAATAAAAATATCACGACGTTTCGATCGCAACACAGCGGTCGTCATCGGGAACAGGGAGGTGAGCCTCTGAGGGCGAGCTGTTTATAAAGGTTAAGAGATGGGGTGGGGCAGCTAATGTTAATGTGGGAGAGGGCTCCGATACCGCCAGTAGGTCTACACCAATCAAAGCATTGCACCTCGCTCCACACACCCACACTGCTGACGGTGGAGGTTGACAAGAAAACAAATCAAGTCATGACCCAAAGTGGTTGATGACATCTTTCCAGTGATTGCTGAGTCTATAAGCTTCCTCTCGGTAGAAATTGTCTCTGTGTCTAAAAATATGGATGGCTTCATGAACGAATCTTTGTTGATAGCCAGTAGGCTTGCAAAGTACCATCGTCTTAGAGAAATAAATTTCGTGTGAGCCAGCTGCATTAAAATAATGATCAGCCACGGCAGAAGTATCGGTCCGAGATATGTCGCTTAGTTTCTCCAATGTAACTCCTGCCACAGATACGGCTAAGTTTGGAGACGCCGGGATATTGCATGTCAGAAATCTCGTCTTTCACAGATGGGATCAGATCATGAATTTTATGTACTGTGTTAAATCGGACCTGAATTTTGTGTTTGTTCATAATTTTTGAAATATTTTTGGTTACCCCTGCTATGTATGGCACGGTGATGGTTTTGATTGAATCCTCAGATGGCTCCTTCCTCACGGTTGGGGCGATGGCTTTGCGGATTGTGTAGTAAGAGTATCCATTCGCCTTGAGAGCTTGGTGTACGTGTTTGAGTTCACTGGTTAGGTGTTCATGGTTGGAGATACATTGAGCTTTATGGTGTCGCGTTTTGATGAGGGAATTCTTCTGGGATGGATGGTGGTGGGAATCAGGTTTTCGGTAGGTGTCAGTATGGGTTACTTTCCTGTCAACAAAATGGCTCATTGAGCCATCTAGTCTATTTTTTATTAGGACATCCAAGAAAGGTAGCATGCCATCCTTTTCTACCTTCATTGTGAATTTGATGGCTGGATGTATAGAATTGATGTGGTTGAAAAATTTGTTTAGAGCCGGTCAGCCATGTGGCCAGATGACAAACGTGTCATCCACGTGCCTCTTCCACAGGGATGGGCATAGAGTGCATGCCTGGATGGCGTCCGTCTCAAAATTTTCTAATAAAATATTGGCAACAACCGGAGATAAGGGAGAACCCATTGGGGTACCTTCAGTTGGTTTGTAGAATGTTCCATTCCAGGTGAAGTATGTATTGGTGAGGCAGTGTCTAACCAGGGCCGGTACATCAGCATTCAATCCTTGTTGGACCAAATTTTCAATGATTGGAATGGTATCAGGCACATGTACTTTGGTGAACAAAGAAACTACATCGATATTGACGAGTAAATCATCTGGGGACAGTGAGATCTTTAATTGAGGATACCAGGTGAGCTGAGTTAAGTACGGTAGAGGTGGTCTTACCAGTGAATGGCTGTAAGGTCTCATACAGATGTAGTAAGTATATGGAGGCTTGACGACAGGATCGGAGGCACACTTATTTATTACACCAACACAGTTATTACAGGTCACTGGGCTACAGGGATTTCTCGACAGCTAACCCCTCTAACCTATACCAATTCCTCCACTACGGAACTAGGGGAGGCTATCTGTCCCAGCTTGGTTAAGCTGGGATCCCGGCTCCCTGAGTCACCAGACCAGCTTCGTCTGGGCTCTCGGGGCCACGCCACCGGCTTGCCCTGGTCGGCCCTTATAAGGACAGCGAGCCAGGGGAGCTCTGGGGCCTACACTAGCAGGTCTTCCGTCTTCTCTGGTTAAAGCTGAGTCCCCACCTCGAGCCCTCGAGCTCATCACCTTTTATAGGACTCCCCCCGAGGGGGGGCCCGTGGGGGACGCACATTCGGACGTCGGTGCGAGCGCCACCCTTGTGTACGGCCGTAACCCCGCCCATTGTGTTTGTTGGCCATCCGTGGCCATGCATAATCACACCTCAACATACGTAGCCATGCGCAATTACACCTCTACATCACCCCCCCTTGTACAGCTCGCAGCCGTCCCTGGCTGCAAAAAAACGTGAATAAAGGTGCATTCCTCACGAAAACCCCGTGTGTGTGCCTCGCGTAATATTTAACAAGAACAAGAGAACCTTAACAAGAACAACAACAGGAAGAGAGAGAGAGAGAGAAAAAAATAACCCGACGCGCTCCCCCCGAATAAACACCCCAAAACCAACATATATACACACTCCGGACGCCACCCCTCCCATTGTCCGCAAGGCCCCCCAACGGCCGACCTCACAACAGTCTGCGCGTTTTGGCGCGCGTTCTCGCGGCGAGCCCGTCACAAGGGCCCGTCCCGGCACGCTCAGTGACGGTTGTTGACGGTCCGGGTACAAGAGAGTCAGGCGTCGCTGCCGAGTGACCCCCGACCCCTCCGGGAGGGGTTGGTGGGTGTGGACCCGTCACTCCTGTTGCACCTGGGGACGGAATAGTTGATGTCAAGTTAGGCGAGCGCAGCGACGCCGGGGAGTCGGCGGAACCCTCACACGTTTGGCCATGCGTGTGTGCGTGTGAACCCCGGGGCGGCGCGATGAATGGTTTCAACCTTGAGGGGTGCACATACCACCGGCGCCTCCCCCACTTGACGCGAACACATTGCGGCCGCAAGACCTGTACGACCTCCACTGGCCCCCGCCACGGCCGTACCAATTTCGACGAGGTTGCCAGCGGCACCTGGGGACAGTGCAACCACGCCTTGTCCCCCGGTTTCCATTTTACCACCTGTACCCGCCCCAACCGAAGCCTCTCGTTCGCCTTCTGGCGGAGATCAGAATTTTGCGCGGCCGCTTCCCGCGCCTCAGACAATTTGCTGATGTTAAATTTAACGTGTTCGGACAAGTTAGACTTCGCCTGGGGCGCCGAGAGCTTGAGCTGGGTCGCCACAGGGGGGTTTGCCTCGCGCCCATACATTAAAAAGAAAGGGGAAAACCCGGTGGCCGCATGGGGAGCCATTCTGTAGGCCTGCAACACCCCGGCTATACGAAGGTCCCAATCCGTCTGGGATACAGACACCTGCTGGGACAGCATAGACGAGATGGTCCGATGCAGCCGTTCCACCATCCCGTCAGTTTGTGGGTGATACGGAGAGGTCCGAACCTTCTCCGTACCCAAGAGGTCGCACACCTCACGTAGGAGTTTACTAGAAAAATTCCTACCGTGGTCAGTAAGCAGCCGTTCCGGAGCACCCTTGTCGAGGACATAGCCCTGGACAAAGGCCTCCGCGATGGCCGCTGCCGACTGGTTGGCCAGGGGCCAGGCCATAGGCCATCTCGTGAAGTACTCTACCCCCGTTAATAAATACCTATTTCCCCTGGGCGTAGCGGGAAATGGGCCGAGTATGTCCAGAGCGACGAGCTCGTTAACCCGGGAAACCTTTATGGACTGCAGCGGAGGGTTGGACCCCCTAGCAGGTGGCTTCCTCTGCGCGCATTGCGCCACAACCCCAGGAGATCCCCCACGTCCTTTGCCATGCCCGGCCAGAAGAAATCTAGCTGGAGCGTGGCAAAGGTCTTGTGAACCCCCAAGTGCAGAAGCCGCTCGTGAACAGCCCATACCACCTTACCCCTTAATGCTGCAGGCACCACGAGCCGCTGGCGGCGGGTTTTCCCATCCCAGTGCATTAAAAGACCCTGGGACAACCCCCACGAGTCAACGTTCGCCACCCCCTGACCGGCCCCCCCGACGCGACGGCGCAGAGCGAGGAGGGAGGTGTCCTCCATTTGGAGGCGTCCCCATTCCGCGACCGACAACCCCAGCAACGAATCCCTCCCTTCTTGCTCGATAGGACCCGAAACTGAAGGCGCATCGGTAGCGGCCACAAGGACCGAATCGGTGGTGACGTTCGGGGGCCTACAACGCCCCGAACCCAAGAGGC